CCCAACGCCAAAAAACTCGGTTTTTGCTCGGTATTGCTAGATATTATTTGGTAATAACGAGGAATATCATCATGTGAAGACCAATACCGAGTTATACCGAGCTATACCGAGCAATACCGAGCACATACCGAGTTTTCTCTAGAAAAAACTATGTATTTTTTGTATTGCTCGGTATTGCTCGGTATAGCTCGGTATAGCTCGGTATTGGTCTTCACATGATGATATTCCTCGTTATTGTTTGGTATTGCTCGATATTTGCTTGGCATTTCTCGTTTTTTAGCGCGATTTTAGCTCTGGGAGGACGCATCTCTGCGTCAGGTGGGAGGACGCAATAAAAATTCTTAAAGTTGACCTCCATAATTCAAGTTTACCTTTAACTCCCTCTCTAGTCTTATCAACAAGAAGAATATCATCAGCAAAAAGGCATGCACCAATATGCAAGGTACATCCTCTTGGATCACGCTAATGGATGGTCCTGATGAAACCAACTGGAGGCCTGCAATGGCGCATCGTATATAAAATTTTATATATCAAAAAATTATTTTTCATGATGATATTTGGATAACTTTTGAAAGGCTCATATTTTGATCATCACTTTAAAAAGAATACAGCCAAACTTATCTTCTCCACAAATGAGGAGAATGACCAAAAACACGTTTTTCCATTCTAAAAATTGAATTAACCAAATACGTTTTTTTCACGTTGAAGTATTTAAAAAGTTTTTAGCTTATAAATAGCATGCCTAAGCTACAGTTTTTGCCACACGACTGACTGAGTGACCAACAATGGAGACTCCTCAATCCTTTCTGCTTTCTCCTCCACCTAAGGAAACTCGGCAATCAGCAAATTTTCATCCAAGTGTTTGGGCTGATTTCTTTATCTCAAAGCCTCCACTCCCTGACATAAATATGGTAGTACTAATTCCTTCAATTAATCCTACAGTTTTTTTTAAATAAAGTATTAATATCTTCAATCTTGCTTTAAATTAACAAAATATTAAAATAGTATAATGACGATCAAGACAAAATCTGATAAATTTATTATGTTTTGGTGTTTTACGTGTCATGTCTTCTGTCTAACTTAAAAGACTTAAGTTAAATACTATTATGTACTTCTATCCATTGTTTCAGCTCGGATTTTAATGGATTTTTATCTTTATAGCAATTCTTCAAATAGTTTTAGATCTTAATTACATCATTAACATATGGAAATTGTTGTCATAATTTGTTTTTATATTAATCTATTATATTATTGTATCATTCAAATTATTTTCAATATTAACTAAGTTCTCTCTTCAATTGGATTTATAAGTATCTTCACTTTTAACTAATGCTTACTGTTATTTTTGTGTGGAAAAAATAAGACATCGCTCAAATCAAAGAATGACGAGCTAAAAGTTGAAGTAAGAAAAAAATTTAAAATTAATGAATTCACATCTAACTATCTTCAATCTTGCTTTAAATTAACAAAATATTAAAATAGTATAATGATGATTAAGACAAAATCTGAGAAATTTATTACGTTTTGGGGTTTTATATGGTTTATTCCGACGTATTTACCGGCGTATATGACGTCGGAAACATTCCGGCGTCATATGCGCCGGAAAATAAGTCGTAAAATTTCCGTTGCATTAGGCGCCGTTACAGGCGCCATTTCTACCGACGCAAAATTATCCGCCGGAAAATCCGACGGTAATCGCGTGTTTTCCCGTAGTGTCTTATGTCTAACTTTACATGCTTAAGTTAAATACTATTATGTATTTCTATCCATTGTTTCAGCTCGGATTTTAATGGATTTATATCTTAATAGCAATCCTTTAAATGTTTTTAGATCTTAATTACACCATTAACATATGAAAATATTTTCAACAATCATAGAACTTTTATATTACTATATCAGTCAAATATTTTCAACAGTAACTAAGTTCTCAAAGTATATACAATAAACTAAGAATTATTTGTGTTATTAGTCGATCTCTCTTCAGTTGGATTTATATGCATCTTCACTTTTAACTAATGCTTGTTATCTATATGTGGGAAAAATAAGGCATCGCTTAAATCAAAGAATGATGAGCTCAAAGTTGAAGTAGGAAAAATGCTCATCGATAACACTCATCCATTGCATTCACTAGAGCTTATTGATAGGATCCAATGCCTTGGAGTGGCCTATCATTTTGAAAAGGAAATAGAAGAGAAATTACTTAAATTTTATGAAACCAGTGCTAGCTATGATGATCTATACACAGTTGCACTCAATTTTCGACTACTACGACAACAAAGATATCACATCTCATGTGGTAAGTTTTGTTCAGCATAGCATTGATCAAAATGCATATTTTTGCTATATATAAGAGGTCTTTATGTATATATTAAACATGTATTTTGGTTTTCTTTTTAGATGTGTTTAGCAAATTTTTGGATGAAAAAGGAGAATTCATGTCTTGCTTAAATGACGATGTAAAAGCTTTGCTAAGCTTATATGAAGCAGCACATCTTTCTATGCCTGATGAAAAAATATTGGATAAAGCCTTAGACTTTTCAAAAATCCAGCTCAAGACTTTAGCTTCTAATATGGATCCCTATTTATCAAAGATGGTATCAAGTAGTTTGGAAATACCATTAGTCAGAAGAGGAGATAGGTTGAAGGCTAAACTTTATATTTCAATCTTTGAAAAAGAAAGCATATGCAATGAAACCCTCCTTAATTTTGCAAAATTGGACTTTAATTTTTTGCAAGCATCTCATCAAGAAGAAGCACGAAGTTTATCCATGTAAGTTTTCTCAAACTCTTGTCTATTTAAGTTGTAAGAAGTTTGAATAATGATAATACTTATTTGTAATTGTCACATCTTACTTTCAATTAATTAGTAAAGCTCTTAAGTTACAAATATGTATATGTTAGTTGTTTTGTGGAGTTTGATTGTATTGATCAATTAGTTTGCATTGTTGAATCAAATTAACCTATATTTCATTTGTTGAGCACGATAAGGAGCTCTCTAAAGGGTTATAGGGGGTGCAGTGTGCCCCCTACTCAAGGGGGTGTAACAGGTGAGATATTATTGTATTTGCATCTTGAGACGGTGAGTGAGAGTGTGAGTGTGAAAATCTCTATAGTTTCTCCCATTTACATAGAGGGTTTCTTAGTGTTGTTCGACATCATGATTTTTTTTTCTCTTTTTGAATTTTTTCATGTTAAATCTGTTTGATCTTATCCGTTGTTTTATTTTTTTGTGTTTGTTTCATTCTTGATTTACTTCCCAACAGTATAGTCATGCTCCTTCAAAAAATGCTATTATAAAATAAAAAATGTTGCTAAATGCATTTCTTTAAGTCATAGTTTTATTTTCATTTTCAAATAATGCATGATTTATAACTCACATGTATTGGTGTTTCATAGTATATTATCTACTCTGAAAATCTTCCAAAAGTTTTTATTATATTTTTACTCATTGCTAAGGACATATTATCAAATTGCAGATGGTGGAAGGATTTAAACTTGACAAAAAGCTTACCATTCACACGTGATAGACTAATAGAAGGTTATATTTGGGCACTTATAGTATCTTTTGAACCCCATTTTTCACGTGCAAGATTGATGATGGCAAAAGTGATATCACTAATAACCATTCTTGATGACATATATGATGTTTATGGGACAATTGAAGAGCTTCAATTGCTTACAGATGTAATCGAGAGGTAATATTTAGATTAAAAAATTTTCATCATTTTTGAAATTAATGTTCAATGAATTAATATTATTTTAATTTTGATTACACATATCGCTCATAGTTGGCAATTTGAAAATGTTGGAAAGCTGCCTCAATACATGCAACACGAGTTCATTGCATTGTACAAGAACTTCAAAGAGTTTGAGAATAAACTAGAGCAAGAACAATATTCATTTCGTGTGCACTACCTCAAAGAGGAGGTAATCTTCTTTGTACAAAATTATATGTTTACATCCCAAGTAACTAGTAAGCAATATTTTTAAATTCAAAGTTATTTTTCAGAAGAAGAAAGTGGCCAAAGCATACTTTCAAGAAGCCAAATGGGCAAATGATGGCTATTTTCCAAAGCTTAAAGATTATTTGGGAGTTAGCCTTATTTCTTCTGGGTACAGTTATCTTGCATGTGCATCATACATAGGCATGCAAGATGAAATTTCAAAAGAATTTTTTGATTGGGTAACTGGTATGCCTCTAATCATTAAATCCGCTGAATTTATTGCTAGGGTGGTGAATGACATTCGTACAAACGAGGTAAGTTTAATTTCAAATCCAAATGTATTTAAGTAATTATTTAACTTATTATAGACTCAACTCCAACACCATATATAAGCTAAGAGCATGATTAACACTATGTAATACTTGCAGTTTGAACAAAAAAGGAAGCATGTTCCTTCAGCTGTCCAATGCTATGTCATGGAACATGGATGCTCCAAGGAAGAAGCAAGCAAGAAACTTATGGAAATGGTAGAGGAAGAATGGAAGATATTGAATAGAGAATTCATGTTTTCTAAGAAGAAAATTCCTATCCATTTACTTAGGACAATTGTTAACTTGGCAAACGCAATTGAATTCATATATAAGGACACCCAAGACAATTTCACAGAATCCACTAAAACCATGAAAGATAATATCATTGATTTGCTTGTTGAACCAGTTCAGATACATATGGATGTTAGACTTACAAGTCCTTCAAGTGTATAATATAGTATCACATATGTATAAGGTTGAACTCATGAAATATTTATCTGTTCAAGAACTTGTTAGCTATTTGCAAAATAAGTTTATTTCATATTAGTATTCCTCTCTTGGAAATATTGATGTATCAAATAAGATTAATTATCATGGCATGCAATAATAATCTGTGGTGTATTATTTTTATATGATATACTCATTGGAGAAACATGTTATGAATTTGACAAAGAAAAATTTCCTATTTTACTAAGTAATTAGGATCAAGCGCCAGCTTTTCATATCATTAAAGAACTCAGGCTTGCAAATTCATAAACTTTGAAAATTGGGTATTCTTACTAATTAATTTACAAAAGTTGAAAGACATTATTTTTTTAATTTTTAAGAAGAGTATATAGAGCCCATAAAGTGGAATTTAAATGTGCTATCACTAATTTTATATTCAAAGGCATATTAATAAATGATATATCTTTCTCCAGAAAGAAAATATCACTTATTATCCATTATTTGAATATGAAGATAATGATCCTCTCCAATTTTCCTAAAGAAAGTTAATTGATTTATCAATTGCTAAAAATCCCCTTAGAGCTTGAATCTAGTATTTATATATATATTTGTTCCACCGTTATATCAATTTGTCTTAGTAGATCTCATTTAAAAGAAAAAAAAAAACAAAACAAAAAAAAAAACCTTATATTTACAACAATTCATCCCCTATATTTACTCAAATTCATGTTATCCCCACATTCTCGCTCTATCCACTTCTCAGCCGCAGGCCACCGGGCCCCTTCGCCACACCAAGCAAGCACCCATGGCGCAAGCCATGGCGTTGCTGCGGTATTCCTTCTTTCTCTCGCCGTCGGCCTCACACACTCTCTATCTCGCACGGCGGCAGTACCCTCTTTCGTCTTCTCTCCTTCTCAAGAGAAAAACCAAACCCCAAATCTCAGCTTCCTCTCCTTCTTCCATGTCCAACGTCGCCTCCACCGATGCGGCGGCTTTAACGGTTTTCCACCTCCACAATACGTTGACGAAGCGGAAGGAACCTTTCCGGCCAACACTGGAAGGCAAGGTGGGCATGTACGTTTGCGGGATCACTGCCTACGATCTGAGCCACATCGGCCACGCGCGCGTCTCTGTCGTCTTCGATGTGCTGTATCGGTGGGGTTTGGATGACATTTTCTATTCATGTCTATCTCTGATCTGATTTCACATTTCTGCCATTGTACTGGTTTATTTATGTGCTGGGGCGTTTATTTTAAAGAGCAGTGCACCTAATACCCTCAAATTCAACAAGTGCAGTGCTGTAGAGTATTGAGTTTGAAATGCATCTTTGATCCGTATGTGAGTGTTTAAATGAATTCGCCAGTCAAAACTCTAGAAGTGACGGAGACGGACATCCACTGATTTTCGGACCGTCGGATTTGGACTCTATAACATTACTAGTTTGGTGCATTACTAGTTTGGCATATTTTCGTCACTCAAAGACCTGTAAACATTATCAACATCATCTTTAGGCTGTGTATCCTACCAAATTGGCTTATGTTCTCCATTCACATGTACATTGTATATAATATGCCACATAAGATAATGTGTTGAAAAAATGACGAATTTTTGAATGTGGGAAGGGGTGTTCATCTTAAATAAAAGAGGAGTTGATGAGTAGGATAGTAGAATATATGAGAAGGTGGCAGGTCACATTATACGGAGTGCTTACATAAAGCTGATTTTGAAAATGTGCCGATTTATATGATGTGAAGAGGGTTTCTTTTATTTAAATTTGTAATGCTTTGAGGATGAAATGGGGATTGAATTTTTTGCTGAATGGGCTAAAATTATCACAATGGTGCCTTCTTTTCCCAATGACTGTTATCCGTGACTTCAGAAAATGATAATAGCGTTATTGCAACCCATTTAATGAATGATCAATGCCCACTTTCAGCCTATATAGCATTACTCTTTTTAAAATTAATCAATGAACTTATTTTCACTACCATATGAAAGCCATTATGACATTTTTGTGCTGTGCTACTGATGAGGATATGTTTCAATGCAGTTGCAATATGAGTCTTAATTATTTTTAGAGCTGGATTATTCATTTCATTGTCTTGAATTCATTTGACAGTTATTTGAAGCATTTAAAATATGAAGTCATTTATGTGAGGAACTTCACTGATGTTGATGACAAAGTGAGTCCTGCAGTCTTTAATCGCTCTTGTACCTATTTAATTATAACTGGACAAATCTTTATGAACAATTTTTTTCTTGTGGAACCCCTCGAGATCTCTAATAATTATTGTCAATATCTTCTTGCTGCTTCATATTCATCCTTTGAACCTTTATGCATTTGTTTGCTTTTTATATAGATTTGATGATTTACTCACTTCTTTGTTATTTTTGTGTTGTGGAAAAGAATTAATTTAGCATAACAGTTACTAATCTCTACAAGAAATATTATATTTTAGATTACGCTAGCTTTTAAAGGTTTTAGTCAAGCCTTTTAGTTGTGATTTACGTATGTTTTCATTATAGATGTTCCTCTGAGAAATTCCTCTCTAGTTTATTTTTAATCTTTTTTTGTCATTTCTTTTCATTTAGGAGATATTCTAATCAACACCACAATCTTGAAATCACCCATAGCCAAAAAGTATGTTCGACAAAAGAAGAGCATTTTCATTATCCTAATGGCCCTAGCTGGAAGGCAGATACCTGCCACATGAGATGTACTTTTTTCTTTGACAAAATGCTAAATTTTTTACTTATCTTGGTGACTATATAATGTGAGTAGTTCATAGAATGTTGCGTCCATTGCTTTCATACTCATGCCTTAGCTGATACCTGACAAACAGCAGAATTCTTTTCTTGCAACAGAAATCCATTCAAAAGCATGAATTTCGATGTAAAATGTACATAGAATATCATTGTTTGATCAAATTATATTGTTGTGAATTGTGATCCCTACATTTCCATCATTATATTTGGAGGCTTCTCAGACGCAAAGTTTATCATTTCATATATATTTTTGCTTGTATTTTCAAATCCTTCTGTTCTTTGAGAGATCGTTGCCTTGCAGTGAACTTGCATGCCCCCTTTATTCCATTTTTGGAAGTTGTTTTCTATATGTATTATGGATTATTGGGATGCTGTGGACTTGATTTATGTTACACGAGGAGCTTGGTCATTTCTCTTATAGAAGCTACACCATTTATCAATATTTTCCATAATCAACCTTCTATACCAACTATCTTGCATATCTATGACAGGAAACCTGAGTTCTGCACTTTTGGAATTATGTAGATCATTGCTAGAGCAAATGAGTTAGGGGAGGATCCCTTGACTTTGAGCAACCGCTACTGCACTGAATTTCAGTCTGATATGGCTCATCTTCATTGCTTAACGCCTACTTTCGAACCACGTGTCTCAACTCATATGAGCCAAATTATACATATGATTAAGCAGGTATGGAAGTTAAATTAATACCTTAATATATTCTTGTACGGAGAAATGGAATGTTCTTTTTACTTTTTCCAGTGGAGTTACATTGCACCTATACTGTGTGCTTCAATTTACTAAAAACCTACTAGTGTCGTAGGCTTCATTTGGTAATATTGTGTTATGATTATATGTAAGTAATGGTCTCCATTACTCTCACGCGCCTTAACAAGCTGCTTTGCAGGTATGTTGTCAATGATTTTGTAATAACAATGTGGAAGTGCACGGGCAGTATAGCATTTTTGTTACATGTTTTTTGCATAAATTAAAATTTTGTTGTTTGTGGTTATTTAAAAGCAAAACAACTGGTTTCCTTAGTATTTTTATTGGCAAATTAGGTATTTTGTTTTTTAAATAACTTTTGTCATAATTTTTTATCATAAGTATCCATTTTTAATGACTCATTTTATAATTTTAGTCTTGGTTAAATCTGTGTTAACGCTGTACATTTGATTTATTTGAGCTTGGAAAAGAGATTTATTAAAATGACAGTCTATGACATTATGTGCTCATAAATTGAATGTAGTTTTTAAATATTTAAATGATTACTTTAAAACGTTCAATAGAGAGGTTTTAGTATACAAATATAGGCTTGAATTTTGCTTCTGGTTTAGCAACATCACTTTAGCTCAAGAAGACTCAATACTTTTCTTTTTGAACAGATTCTTGTTAATGGTTTTGCCTACAGTATTGATGGCGACGTCTATTTCTCTGTTGACAAATATCCTTCATATGGCCAATTGTCTGGTAGGAGATTGGAGGATAATCAACCTGGACAGAGGGTTGCTGTAGATTCAAGAAAGCAAAATCCTGCTGATTTTGCTTTGTGGAAAGTAAAATAAAATTATAACCTGTTATTGTTTTTATCCTCCATATTTTTGTCAATATATATCTTTTAATTTTGGCGGCTACAGGCTTCAAAGGATGGGGAACCATTTTGGGAGAGTCCTTGGGGACCAGGAAGGCCAGGATGGCATATTGAATGCAGTGCAATGAGTGCAACTTATCTTGGTCATTCGTTTGATATACATGGTGGTGGGATGGACCTTGTTTTCCCTCACCACGAGAATGAAATTGCTCAGAGTTGCGCTGCATGTAAAGAAAGCAATGTAAACTATTGGGTCCATAATGGCTTTGTTGATGTTGGATCTGAAAAAATGTCGAAATCACTTGGTAATTTTGTCACAATACGCCAGGTAAGCCTAGAGTTTAACCGATGTCGGAAATTGGTTGTTTCAGACATATGCAAATAAATTAAATACCATTAATGGAATGACATTTTTGTATGTATACTCGTTAAATTATCTTGATGATAAGTCAAATTATGTTGTTTTTCTGTAAAATTCACCTACTCAGGTTTAAGTTTAAATATTATATGGGAAATAAACCATTGCTACCCCTCACTGTAACATATTTTGCTTTTGCCAACCTTTTCCGTTGGGTTTCTGATATCTTAAAAAACATCTCAGGTCATAGAAGTGTACCATCCATTGGCTTTAAGGCTCTTCTTAATTGGCACTCACTACAGGTCGACAATCAGTTATTCTATTGCACAGCTAGAGATAGCATCGGATCGATTGTACTATATCTATCAGGTATAAAGCTACATTGTTAGCTATTTTTTGCTGCATGCTCAACCTCTAATTGTTTGATATATTTTTTGCAGACTATATGTGATTGTGACAACTCATTGAACCAATTTAATGGGGAAAACCTGAAGGACTATGTACCAAAATATATTGTAGATTGCATAAACAAATTTCTATTTGATTTTGAAAAATCTTTAGCAGATGATCTACATACTCCAATTGCGTTGGCTTCATTTTCTGAACCACTGAAGATCATTAATGATCTCCTTCATACTCGTAAGGTAAGGATTTATTTGCTTATTTGAGAATTATAACAGCCTTCATGCCTGGTTGGTTATTCAATTTTTACTCTTTTTTATTGCAATTATTGGAATGATATTCAACGGTCATTTTCTATTGTTGTGGGTTTAGCATAATGTTTTATTTGTATGTGTGACTGTTCTCAACCAAGATATTGCATCACATGTGTAATGCTTTATATGTGTGTGTGCATGCATTTAAGTAGATTTCTATCTGCTCGTGTGATGAAGATTAGATGGTTCATGGAAACTTTGAACCATAAAGGACATTTTAGAATGCAAAGGTTCGAGATTAGTAGAACAATACTGAATATATTATATGCATTTTCAATAGATGTACAACAACAACATCAAGCCTTTATCCCACTACGTGAGGTCGGCTACATGAATCTTTTTTCTCCATTGCGCCTGTTAAGAGTCAAATTCTCATTTAAATCTAAGAAAGAATATCATTTCTAATCTTTTCTAACCAAGTCTTTTTAGGTCTATATCTACCTTTCGTAATATAAGCTAAATCTAATATATCTACTCTCCTAACTGGGTCATCAGAAGGCTGACGTTTTATGTGACCAAACCATCTAAGGTGACTCTCTCTAATCTTATCTGCCACTGGAGGTACTCCAACCTTTTTCATGCATATGCTCATTTCACATTCAGTCTCTAAGAATAAAGCCACTCATCCACCTGAGCATCCTCACTCTGCAACACTTAACTTTATGCTTCTCTTTTAATGACCATTATTCTATGCCATAAAGGATTACAAGTCTCGCTACCATCTTATAGAAATTTCCCTTAAGTTTGAGGGATACTTTTCTATCACACAATAGACCCGATGCATTCCTCCACTTCAACTATTCAACTTGAATTCTACTAATAATATCTTATCTATTTCACCATCACTCTGAACAATAGACCTTAGATATCTAAAATGTGTGCTCTTATTAATGACTTGATTGCCCAAAGTCACAATCCCCCACTAGATCTATTACTAATAAAATTATACTCCATGTATTCGGATTTAGATCTATTCAAGAGAAAACCTTTATACTCTAAAGTTGACCTCCATAATTCAAGTTTGCCTTTAACTCCCTTTCTAGTCTTATCAACAACAAGGATATCATCAGCAAAAAGCATTCGCTAGGGTACATTCTCTTGCAAATGCCTAGTAAGACATCTATGACTAAATGATGTAGACAAAGGTGGGGTCAACACAAGTCCAAAATAAATCAGATTTTGGCTTCCCTTGAGTCTACTAGCTCAATCCAATTGAGCTAGAATTTTAGCTCATTTATGAGCTAGGCTTTAGTTCATTTATTGAACTAGAGGTTAACTCATTATTAGCTAGGATTTTTAACTCATAGTTATCTTTTAATTAGTGTAATTTTATGCTTTTTATGTTTGTCTCTTGGAATTCCAAACCGGCCTTTGGAATTCCAAGATTTCTTTTTCCCATGGTGGCTCCTTGAATTCCACCATGGCCTTTTAGTATTTTGTGTGTCTCTTGGGATCTCACGGCTGGGCTCATTCTCCCGTGGCCGTGGCTCTTTGGTCCGTGCGGTTCCTCGTTTCCCGTGGCTGTGGCTCTCTGTCCGTGCGGTTCCCTTCGTCTCCCGTGGCTGTCTCCTTGGTTCCTGGTTTGGGTGTAAACCGAGAGCTTGGGGGGAAGTTTTCTATGCTTTTTAATGCTTAGGTTATTGTGTTAATTAAATGTTTGTGTCCTTTTGTATTCCCCTTTCATACCTATAAATATGAGGGGTTATGTAATGTTTTGAATAGTTGAATGTGATATTTGATTTTTGGAAAAAAATCTGTTAACCTGCGGGTTGCTTGGAAATCCTGCGGGCTCTTTCCACCCTTCTTTTCTCATCCCCTCCGGAAATCCTGCGGGCTCTTTCCAACCTTTCTTCTCGGGCTTCTAACCTCTTTCTTCTCTCCGCAAGTGCCACTCCACCTGTATCCTTCTTCTCCAAGTGCAGCAACTTTAGGGTGTCTTTTTAATTTTATTTGGAGTCGTTTGTATTCTAGTCGAGTTTTGTAATTTTAATTTCTTTAATTTCTTTAATTTGAAATATAAGAGTTTGTTTGTCGTTTTTCTCGTCTCATTTTCAATTTCGTCGGTAGAAATCTGTCGTCTGTTTTTGTCGAGCAAGAAATATAGGGAGCTTATAGTTTTTGCCCGCATCACTAAAGCAAGAAGATATGGCTTTAAAGCTGATTCTTGATGTAATCCACAGCTGAAATAGGAAAATACTTAGTCAAGCCACCTTTTGTTTGAACACAAGTAACAGCTCTTGCATATATATCCTTAATGGCTTAAATATAAGCATTATTAACCCCTTTCTTTTCTAGAACTCTCCATAGCACTTCTCTTGGAACTTTATCATATGCTTTCTCTAAATCAATAAATATCATATATAGATCCTCCTTATTCTCTATATACTTCTCCATCAAACCTCTAAAGAAATGTATAACTTCCATAGTAGGCCTACCCGCCATGAATCAAATTTGATTTTGAGAAACATTAGTTACACATCGTTACCTATCCTCAATAACTCTCTCCCATATATTTAAAGTATGACAAATTAACTTAATTCCTCTATAATTCGCACACTCATGTGGTCACCTTTATTCTTAAAAATAGGAATCAACATTCCATTCATCTGGCATCTTTTTAGTCTTCAAAATAATATTGCAAAGTTTCATAACTTAAGAAATTCATTTATCTCCTAAGAATTTTCACACCTCTATTGAAATATCATCAGGTTCAACAGCTTCTCCATACTTCATTTTTTTTAAATCTCTCTAACTTCCAGTTTACTAATTCACTGATAAAAATAATATCTATTTTCAATTTATGTAAAATTTATAGTTATCCATTGTCAACCATTGAAGATCATGTAAGCTCTACTATGGTGTGATATATTTAAGTAATTTTTATTTTAAAAAAAATAAGGGATATAAAGGTGTTACATTTGGATAGTTAAAATAGAGAACACTTGAGTACCATGCAATAAGAAAATTTTAAGAAGGCTAAATTTATTAACTCTATGTAGACTAACAATGCTATATGGATTCAAGTTTAAGGCAAGAAAGAATATTTTTTAACCAAGTTTAGTGTGATAAAAATGATAGTATTAAGTTGGATGTGTTTGAATTTTTAAGAAAATGAAGTGAGATCGTATCAGGTAGACATGGGAGTGGCACCCATCTAAGGTTCGATTTTGTAAAATAAATTTAATTGGTTTTGGCATATACAATAAAATAGCCTTAATAAGGTAGGTATATAGGATCAATCTGAAGAAATTAACAAAGGAAAAGAGTTGGAGCAAAGATAGCATTGATATTAGTTGCGCACAATGACTCCAAAATATGGAGTTAACATGCTCCAAGATGACTCAGAGTTAGGCTTCCTAATACAACTAGTTTGATGTGTTGTATGCCTTCATGCAAAGAAAAATAGCGGATTCACATATCATAAGTAGTCAATAAATTCAACAATTCACTTTCTTTAATTGTAAACAGACGATACTTGAGTTTAAGATCAATTGCTAATGATATGATTGGAAATATCCAAGAATTTTAGCAACAAAACGGTAACAAATAAAATCTGTGAGAAAATTGAAATAATTTTCACAAATCAATTTGTCATCGTATCAGTTTTTTATTTATTTTCTTATGACTATTTTTCAATTTTTATTTAACATATTTATTTTCATTTATTTTATTTTAGTTTTCTTTTTAAGATTTTAATTAATTTTTTTATTGATGATGAACTAAGTTAATCTATTAATAGTTTATTATATATTTATAAATTGCTATATATATATATATATATATATATATATAGTCTTTTTTAAACCTTGATAATTAGTCCTGGTTCTAAGTGACATTTTGACGCTACCTAAGATTGTGATATCAATTTGATGATGGACAACTTAGCGTTAAATTTTCTAATGCAACTAATATGATCATCAATATGCATTCATGCAAAGAAAAGTAGAGGATTCCCATCTCACACATCACCATTCATTAAAAATAAGCTCACTTTATTTTAAATGTAAATATGTGATACTATAATTTAAGATGAATTAATAATGAAATAGTTAAGAATATTTGAGAGCTTGCCAAACATGTTTAAAATTTCCTTGGTTTTGCTTCCTGTTAGAAGTAGCAATCATCTATGTTTTTCTGCATTCAGGTGGAGCAGGCTATAGTCATAAAACTTTGTAAAAAAATTTCATGTATTGGGTTGTGACTTCTATAATAACGGCTCATTATTGTTTTGACCTTTCTGTCAATGCTTCTTCATTTCAATTCATGCTATCTTTATTTTTATTTCTCTTTATTTCCTGATATTAATCTTAAAAATATTTTCTGAACAAGGTTTTCAAGTCATAGAAACTATATTGAGGGATTTTCACACATAAATTCAAATAGATGTGTAGGGGTGCAAACGAGTTGAGTCGAGCTCGAGTCAAGGGTGTTCAAGTCGAGCTCAACTGTCAAATACCGAGCTCGAGCTCGACTCGTGCCAACGTAAACGAGTTTGAGCCGCTCGTCGAGCCGCATGTCGAACCTCCCGCGCAGTCCGTTTCAGCTTCATGCATGCAGTTTTTTAAAACTAGAGAGAGAGAGAGGGCGGTTTTTTAAAAATTAAAACTGCATAGAGATAGAGAGAGAGAGGGAGAGCAACTTTTTTTTGGGTTTTATCAGGGAGAGAGTTATTAGCATTTATTTCTGTCAGAGAGAGAGAGAGGGGAAAACGATGAGATTCTTTTTAATTGTCCAAATATATGATGGTGGGAAGTTAAGTGTGATTTATACAACATTTAATACTAATTTTTTTAAAATATTCGGATTTAATAATTTTAAGCCGGCTCGCGAGCTCTCGAGCCAAACCTAATGAAGCTCAAACTCGATCTTGTTTAGCAAACGAGCTCGAGTTTGAGCTCCATAAGCTTGGCTCACGAGCCCATAAACGAGTTGAACTCGAGCCAGCTCGGCTCACTTACACCCCTATAGATGTGTAGGCATTCACAAACTTAGTAGTGGAGGCTTCGGATTTATATTTTATACTTCTTAAAGAGAGAAGAAAATATCCCAAGCTATCACTTAAATGGAGGGTTAGCCATTGTATATGATTAAAAATAAATTTAAGCTATATAAGTTAACAATTTAAACAACACTGAGGATAAACTTAAATTCTAAACACATGTCCATGACATTTTTTGTCAAAACCTTTCAAATGGGACCTTGATGTTCTTCTTTTATTCTCTGGTGACTTTTAAGCCTGACTGTTACTGTTTTTTTTTTTTTTCCATCGAATACGGTCATATGATAGCTCTTCTTATTGATAAGTTTTATTGTAAGAACTCTACACAAAACATGCTTTTATCCATGATTCCTATCATCTTTTTCATATTAGAGAAAGCTTCACGAATATTGAGGACTAAAAACTAAGATCATCTAATTTGGGTCCCTTCATTCTCCTGCGCTGTTAGGCATCCATAAGCCTTACGAGTATATGATCTGTCCTCAATGGGAAGATGGAGCAATCAAGCATCAAAACATCCTCAATGTAACGATTGTTTTTTTGCTATGATTGATATGAAAATATAAGTTCTTTGTATCTTGCTTCATTTCTTTATTACTTATAGGACCTGGTGTGACAAATTGTCAGGGTAAAAGATCAACAACGAGAACATTCTAGTGCTTACAAAATTGTTCTAACTTTCATATGCGACTGTTCTAAAAAAACCAAGGAAAACATGACCATAAAATTAGCTGAGATGCATTTGCACAAGTTGTTTTCTATAAATATTCAACCGGACCAAAGCAAACAAGTGATTATTTTGTTTGAATCATTTTCCGAAGTTACAAGTTGAACTAAATTGTTCTATGAACCTCCTCAGGGAATATATAGTTTTCATGTGGCTAAGTTGCATTAATTTGACCCTTAATTACCTCATGCCAATAGTGAAAAATCTCCATTTTTGAAATGATTTTGTTCGAAATAGAACATCTTTAGAAAACTTAATATATCTGGTAGGGACCTATATGTGAGGTTTTCAAAGCTAATTCCTTGTAAATGAAGTCATCAAAAGCAGTATTACCATACAGATATTTCTCTAGATTTATGGATTGAGCATCTTATATGTTCTATGAATATTGTGCTCCTCCCATGAAGTTGTTCACATTCTTTCCTTTCCTTCTGGTTTCTTGATAATATGGGCAGGGAAAGAAAGAGCATATGAGGATGGAATCTCTTATGTTACTGGGAAATGAAATCAAGGATGGTCTTCACATTCTGGGATTGAAGCCTTCTAGTTTCTCCGAGGCGAGTAATTTTGTTATTGCTAGAGAATCAGTGCTTTAAAAATCGGATTGGACCGGCCAGTCTGACCGGTTCAACCGTGAACCGGCCTAAAGGCCGGTCCGGTTCAAGCTAAAAACCGCCTTTGGTTCAAACCGGCCAGTTTTGACAAGAACCGCTGGTTAAACCGGCGAACCGGCAAACCGGTCCCAGTTTTTTAAAACTATTCCCTTTCTTCTTGCCCCAACTCCTCTTTCAATTTCCAGGCTCTATTCCAGTTGAGAGAGAAAGCCTTGAAGAGAGCTGAGCTCACTGAAGAACAAGTGTTGCAGAAAATAGAAGAGAGGAGCTCAGCGCGGAAGGCGAAACTGTATGAAAAATCTGATGTGATCAGGAAGGAGTTGGCTGCTGTTGGGATCACGCTGATGGACGGTGCTGATGAAACCAGCTGGAGGCCTGCAGTTCCCCTTCATGTACAGGAGCAATTGCCATCTGCTCTTTGAATTTTTTCAAGCCTTTATGTATTTGAAGAACAATTTGTCTTTGCTGTTAAATAGTTATGCTCAAATTAATTCCTGTAAGTTTACATCCGAATGATTTTGGAGTTTTTAAGTCTTAAACTTGTCTTTGCAATGTATGTGCTGCCCATATCATTCACAGGTGTGATGAATTGTCAGTTGAATGAATCACTTTACTGGGCCTCTAGAATAGGGAAAATTATTGTGTTGTGTCCGGACTGTTCGGATGCACCAGGGTTGGGTGACGTGGCGCGTTCGGATTCGCCTTCAGTCGAATTCGGATGCTGCATGTAATAATTCGCCCCTAGAATAGTGAGTAGCTATGTGATTGCTCATCATCAGCATTTTATTTGCTTTATTTATGTGCAGAGCTTCTTGAAAACCCACAAGGGCTTGCTATAATAAATTATGCTTAGCTCAAATTTTTTTTTTTTTGAACATTTAGGCTAATTAAGTCAAATTTGCACACACATTACATACACGAGATTCAACCGAAGATCTTTTAATTGATAATAAAAACTCTCAACTAACAAATCAAGGTGAGCCGTGTAGCTCGATTCATAACTATAGAGAATAACATGACCAAGCTCAAATTCATTAATGAGTTAAGCATTTGTGTTCTTGTTTAACTCATTTATTAAATATGAATAGAAAGATAAGTTGGTGATCATCAAATATATTTGCATATTTATTTTTAATTGTTGGCTTCACTTATGTGAAAACAAGTTTGTAATTTCATAGCAAAACATTGTTTAAGCATCATAGAATATAAATATATTTGTGACTTTTTATAAAATATTAGAGGGAAGAACACCATGTTTAGAGTTTTTAAGTTTGATTTGATCTCTAGATTGCACTTTGGAGAATTCTAAAAGATGAGCTGAAGTAGTATGCTATGTTAAATGAGGATAATGAATTCAAAAATACAAATATGGGAAAAGCTTTCATGGAGTGCATTAAGGAAGATAGTACATGAAAGCTTGGGCTATGTTTCTTTATAGATGGTGTCCTTCTCAAACAAGACAAGTGCTACTTTTATTGAGATGCTTGAATTAGTTGAAGATGAGGAGGATTTTTTAGATCCCTATAGGTTAGTAAGAGAGAGAACACTAAAAACATTGAAGAGAGATATGATGCACTATAAGACCACTACCTATTAAATAATACTACAATCGAGCACACTATGATCAGATATTATATATTAATACACTATTAAGCTTATGAAGCTATCCCAATGCTAGCGAAGAGATGAATTGATTTCCTTGAGGAAAAAGCACCAAGGATGTCGAACTTAGGGGTGCAAACGAGTCAAGTCGACTTGCGAGCCTACTCAAATTTGACTCGATAACGAGCTCACGAGCCGAGCTTATTGAGTTTTGAGCTCAAGCTTGAGTAGATTTACATGCTCGTTGGATAATGGAGCTCCAGTTTGATTGAGTTGTTGCTCGACTCATTAACTCATCAAGCTGCTTGAGTGGGGAAGGGGGGGGCCGCAAGAGCGGAAGCTGAAGGCGAAACCTCATAAGCGAAAGCTGAAGGCAAAACCTGAACCTACCGCAAAAGTGGAAGTGAACGTTGACCCGTTCGAGCATGCCTCACGAGCCTACATCCATTGCCCCAAGCTGAGTTTGAGAATGCCATTTGAGCTCAAGTTGAGCTAGAGCTCAAGTTCGAGCTCGCCATTTGGCCGATAAGCCGTGCTTGAGTTAAGCATGACTCAAGGTTGACTCTGCTCGTTTACACCCCTAGTTGAGCTTGAAGATCAAGAAGATGCTCACTAAGAAGGATTTGTTTGCATTGCTGATCAATAAAATTATATGTGGTGAAGATCACCGATGTGAATTTTTTATGTACGTGTTATATGATAATTGTTAACTTACAAGCTTTTTCTAACTTATTTTATATATGCAATTCTCCATACTACACTAGTGTATATCAATGATGAAAAGGACTTCTATAAATTTATCATGTATATTCATATAGCCTATTTTAACTAGAGTTATAAAGAAGTGACTTAGCAACCCCATTTTTTAGGGGATAACAAGATAGACAATAGAAGTACAATTTGCTACAATTCAATTCATGCCATTCTATGAAGGGTGAAGTAGCTTTTTTATCACTATATAGGGTTGAGGAGCAACAACTATATGTTGGATTACAATCAAATAATATTGGTGCAAAAATTGGATGCTTTGATCAATATTTTTCATAGTTTTATATGTTGGGATTAGTAAGTGGAATGAGGTAGTATTTATTGCAAACTTAGCCATTCACATAGATGATGTTGGGGATGATGTATAGTAGGAGTATGAAACATAGAGGAGGTAGAGAACATAAAGGACCAATCCCTTGCAATTGTATCTACATAATAGGAGGTCAAGAAGGTTGAGGATGTTAGTCCCTTTCTTATAATTATATGTAAGAGTGATGCACAAATATTATGATTTAAAATAATGGCATGAAAGAATAAGAAGTATTTGACTGAAAATTTCATAAATCCATTTGGAAAGAGGTACAAGCCAATGAACTCATGCTCCGTTTATCTCTTACACTCGATTAATGAGTAATTTCCCTCCTTAAGATCTTGATATCACGATTGGTTGACAACTCCAAGGAGAATTCGATTTGAGCGAGCAATTAAAGCACGTAACAATTCCAACAATTGAGTATCTTATTACATGGTTAGATAGGAATCAGAAATATATTTTAATTTTTTTTAAGGTATGGTTCTATCATTTGAATAATCTTTATGCTAAATTCAATTTTTATCTTTATAACCTATTAATTCTTTATGCTTTTTTAATAAGGGAGTGAATTTGACACCAACCATAAATTTATAAATATTGCATCATTATATTAGATGAAGTTTTTGGATAAGTATTGTAGATTAATAATCTCAATTTACAACAATCTCAAGAGAAACGACTCCTTTAAGCGAACCAATGAGGCCATCGTATACATTATTGGAGAGGAGAGATTCTTAAAGTTATGAGTTAAACCAAAACTCATATCATCAAATAAAGTTATTGATGTTATGTGAGATCTCACTTCCATGAAGGCCATAACATAATATAACTCTGAAATCTCTCACCTTGATATATATCTTACAAACAACAATGTATAAACTCTTCTCTTCAAAATCTCCTTAAACATAGAGGAGTTCCACTAAATATGAGGCCCCAAGGTTTATAGCGAGGTACACAATTTTGATATTTAAAAAAAAATTATGCAACCAATTATCACATATAATATAATGAGTATATTCTATTACATTTCTAATTGAGATTATGAAGTGTATGATATACCATACTTAATATATTCAACTAAAAAGAAAAATCTCTTGAAGTTATGCTTGATTGTATATTGTTCTATAATTAAAGTTTATACAAATATTATTTGAACAAGATTGCAGTCTCTTCAAATAGAAAAATTATTAGGCGCGGAGTCCAGACGTAGAGATACGTCCATACATCCATTTAAAATTTGACACGTGGAATGCACTTTAATTGTTCTTTTATTGTGCGCTTTACTTGTGTTTTACCTACACTTTAGTTGCACTTTGAGTGTTCGTTTATTACGTTTTTTTTTGCCGTGCTTTGATTGTGCTTTACATGTGCTTTCACTGCGCTTTACATGTGCTTTACATGTGCTTTGACTGCGCTTTACATGTTCACGGAGGAATTGTCAATATTTTATTGGAGTCCGGATGTATCTCTTCGTCCGAACTCCCGCACCTGATAATTTCTCCTTCAAATATGATTGAAATTTTATTTGAATCAATGCCATTTGATGGAAATTTTAAATAAATATTTCAAGATCAAAAGTGGCAATATGTTAAATAATAAAAATTTCCAACATATTGTTTACCTAAAAAATTAAAAATTGAGCATATTTAACAAACTTCCCATATAATGTCAAATTTCGCCGCCACAATCATATAAATATACAATGTATCGAGAGAGATTTTGTAGTTCACGGCGGAATTGTCCATCTAATTATTGCATCAGGTGACCGAAGCCATCTCTCCGTTCGGTCGCCAATGGAAATGCGACATCTGTTAGACGTTTTTTTAATTTATTATTAACGCTTTATGTCTTGTCAGATTAGCGACCCGACCCGATAACACCTTTCATTTGAATTCCGGGAAATAAAGAATGGAAATGCCGCGCGACATCTTCACTGTTACTCCAGCTCCAGCTTTGGTTAGCGCTCTCGGATTCCTCCATTTCCTTCGTTTCTGCATTAGCTTATTCCTGCCGGAGGTTAAAAAAACGCATGTCGCATTTCCATTGGCGACCGAACGGAGAGATGGCTTCGGTCAACTGACCCAATAATTTGCCGCTCTCGTGGCTCGTTTTACACTCCTTGCAGTCGATTGCGTTGCGGCTTTTGTGCTCTGTCGAAAGAGGAAAGAAGAAGCAAGTGGAAGGAGAATCGAGCGAAAGGCGAGGGAGAAATGGCCACCATCCTTGCGTTCGGCGCTTACCACTTTCCCATTTCCGACCAATCCCTACCTCTCTTTCTCCTCCGCTACTCCCCAATCCCCACCCCTTACCTTGGCTCCGTATCCTCCGGCTGTCGATATAGGCGGCTTCAGTTCTCTGTATCCGCCTCCAGAGACCGGAAGGTCGAAGAGAAGTCATCTGATGATCGGCGTGCCGGTACCCTAGCTGGCGGGCGGCGGAGCTTGGGAATGGAAGTTCGAAAGCAGGTCGAAAAGGGCTTGGCGAGTGAAGACGGAGTAGTGGATTTTGAATGGAAGTGGCCTTTGTGGAAGGAGCTGCCGATGCGTTATAAGCTCATCGGGACGACATCCCTTGCTTTCGTTGTTTGCAACATGGATAAGGCATTCTTGTATTCTAGTCTTTTTTTTTTTAAATAAGAGTACTGCTATACTCTCCGAATACATTCATAGTTAGAATAGGGTCATATCGCATGTGAGCAATTGATACTATAAACGTTGTGTAAAACGGACTGTACAATAGGAGATCTCCTATTTTATTGTTCTAGTGCCCTAGCCAGTGGGAAGCGTGGCTTGGTATTGGAGGTTAGGAAACCAAACGATAAGGGCTTGACAAGCAAATATGGAGCATATAGGGTATTTATGGGAAGTTGCTTTTATGGAAGGAGCTATCCATGCATTATAAGCTAATTGGAAAGATAAATTATTAGGTATGGATGATGTACTTATCTTCAACCAATGGTACGTTATACGTAACTGTGTACAAAACTGTGTATAACATGTAGATAATTATGTGCAACCTTGCTATTGGCTACCCCTAGGTTCGTCATATGCACTTAATAATTTCTCCATTGGAACAATGTCAATTGCTTTTGATATTTGCAGGATGGATAAGGTGATCTTATATTATAATCCTTTTTTGTTCTTTTGGCTAGAGTAATGCCACACCACACAAATGGATTCACATTTAAAACACAGCAACATCAATTGTGATCAATTAATGCTAAATTGCAAATACCTCTCCAGATTTAATTCTATGCTGGAAAAAGGACTTCTCATTCTAATTCAATGCAACTCTCTCAGCTGAAAAAGCATTCCTGTTGTTCCCCAACATTTCAACCCTACCATTCTCTCACACTTTGACAGCCAGATAAGATTGAAAATCATTTATCATTTTAATAGGTATAAGTGCTTCAGATTTAATACTTCTTATTCAAATATTAATTTTTTTACCTAGATATAAGGTCATTCATTCAAATATGTTTATCTATTATAAGATTTGTGATGTAGATATAAGAATTTATCAACTGTACCATTTACCCAGACATAATTTATTATCATATATGAGATCTTTTGGTCTTATGTGAGATGTTTAATTCATATGTAATTTGGATGATCTAACTAGGATAATGCTTGAAGATCATTCATTCTAAGTATCTTATTATAACATTATGTACATAAACCCATTTTAAGTGTAAATTTATTTGAGTAGTAGTATAGCAGTAAGCAACCAATTCTTTGATGGTGAATCTTTAGTAGGATTAGGTTAACATTTTGCTAATTAAAGGAATAGCCTAGATTTTTTTTTTAAATTATTATATGGCTTTTATGTTTGGAGTGATATTTATGTAGGTTAACTAGTTAGAGCTTGTTTCACGATATGGAAGTTAAAATGAATCATATTCTTTAGAATGGATGAACTACTATTTCTTTGTCCTTCTGTTCTATATCTAATACATTTTAAATCACTTTTAGTAATCTTATTGTCAACATCGAATTTAAGTTTTGACATAAAATTTCTTTCACAGAATGGAAATGAATATTTTGATTACTGAGAAGTGAAGAATAAGTGTAGAAAGAATGGAGGAATGAAGAGAAGGAGATTTAGAAGATTAAAAGAATAAATGTTTAGAAGGTAAAGATAAAGAAAGTATTAAGAGCCCTATTGTTAGAGGAAGGGAGGTTTTAGTTCTGTCAGGGGATGCCAAAAGAAAGCCTTTTTATAGTCTCTTATCAACTAACTGAATTTCAACCTAAGGCCAACTGTTTATAATAGTTACCATAAATTCATAAGTCTTTCTAACATTGCTAAAATTAAAATAATGCGAATCATATCCTAGAGAATATATGATGATTTTACTTTTAATTACCGCCAAAATGACAAATAAGTGAAAGCGACATAAAACTTCTAACTAAACATTATTATGTTGGTACAAATAAGATTGAATTCTAATAGTTAGGAATCATCTCATGGTGCATCATTTCTCTTGGAGTACAAATCTTTAGCTCGGAGAGTTAAAATGTTACAAGATGAAGAGTTGCTATTCTTTGATTGTATGTATAGCTTGTGAGATCCATCTTGAAGAAGAAAGATTGATAGTAATTTTACCCCAAGGAAGATGTGATGAATGTGAAATTCATCTTTTGGAGATGGAGAGGAAGTATATCACTGCTGTCAAAGATTGTCAATCAAAAGCTCTTGTCGAAGATCCTCAAGAACACTATCACAATAAAAGATTTAATTGGAAACTTGAAGGTTTTCATGTACACTGCTTGATTGATTTGATCTGATGGAAGTATTATTTTTAAAGTACAATTTCTGATATCACATGAAATATGCATTTTGCTATCTAAAACGTGAAAGTTCTTTGGAAGAAAATAAATAAACATTTGATGTGAAACGTACATGCGATGATGGAGTTACTTTAAGAAATTAATGAGAACAATTTAAACAAATAATCCCAAAGTAAAATTTATCACTTATAGCAAAAGATTGATCCTTGGAATTCGTGGTTTTTAACTTGGTGGGGCAAAGTAGAGCAAGTTCAATCAACCAAACAATTCAAGAAACACAAAGAATATTGTAAAACTACGATGGTAACAAGAATCCACGAATTAATAAAGAGAACTTTCACCTTTGGAGCCCATACGCTCAACTAATCTAGGCTTTAGCGGAAGAAGAGTCTCCACCTTAGAATCGAGGTCGCTCCGAGGAAGGAGGAACCTTGGATCGTCGTTCTTGGATAGGTGGCCGAAGTAGGGAATTCTGGACAGCGGTTGGGGCCTCCCGGGTAAGGGTGTGGTGCAAGGAAACCTGCAAAATTGTTGGACAGCAGCTACGACGTCATCCCGGACAGTTAGGCGTGCTGAACTTGATGCTAGTGGGCAGTGGGCTGCAATGGTGATCTCTCCAATTCACTGTACAGTGTTGGAAATGGCAGAAAACCTGAAACAGCCCTTGGAGGGCTTCGGGACAGCAACCTGGGTGGCTTCAGGCCACAGAACGGTGAAGAAACTGGGTGGGGTTCTCTTGGCAGCAAGTTGAGAAGGGAACGTCCAGCAAATGGGATATCTAGGACAGCTGGAACGTGAGACTCTTATGCAGGAATTTGGTGGCTGCATGAGGCGTTTGGGGAATTTTCATTGGTACTTTTGATGGGAATTAATTGGGTGAATAGTAGGGAAGGGAACGGGTGGGGCTAAGCAAGAACTCGGTTAGGAAACCTGAAATTAATTTCAGATTTCCTGATTTTAATTTGGACTTTGAAATTTCAAATTTTTGAAATTTGAAATTTAGGCTTAGGAGGGAAATTAGGAATTAATGAGGCCTTATTTGAAGCCATGAATTAAGCTCCTAATTAAGGGGAGGAGTAATGGGTATGGGTGGCCAGCCATAGAGCAAGGAGAGAGGGGGGTTTCGGTTTTGATGAGGTGGGGCCCACTTGGTTAATTAAGGGATTTGAGTAGAAGCTGAAATAAATTCAGATTTTAACCAAAAGGAAAAATTTCCTAATTTATGATTAAGCAATTATGCAGTAATTTGAATTTCAAATTCAAATTGAAATTCAATTAAGATGATGGCATAAATTCAGGAATTTAATTTTGGCAAGTGGGTAACAGCTCTTGGTGAATTTGAATTTCAAATTCAAAACCCAAGAGGGGCCGGCGGGTAGAGAGGTGGAGAGGGAAGGAGGCGGCTGCAAGGGGGAGGAAGCCAGCGGGCTGGGGAAGGGCTGGCCGGTGGCTGTTGGCCGACGGTTGGGCTGCAGGCCGGCGGCCTGGGCAATCCAGGGAGGGGCCGGCGGCAAGAGCAAGGGAGGGGAGAGGGTGGGGGAAATTCTTGGAATCCAAAAAGTGAATTCTAATCTTCCACCAATGCTTTCCCTCGAACCTTCGTGACAACGATGAAATCTTGAGAAATAAAGAAAAGAAAAATTGAAGAATAAGGAAAACCTAGAACTCACAAAGAGATCTAGATTCTCCTACGAACTCACTAAGAGATCGTGGAGGTTGCACTCACAAAGAGAACAGGAACTCGAAAATTTTCATTCAACAAAAACTCTCTATTACAAGAGAAGGACCATATAAATAGGCCTCACAATGACAAATAAAAAGCAAAAGACTAAAATGCCCCTTGGGCTACAATAGCGACCAAATACCCATAAGGGCAAAAACGGAAAAACATAAAATAAAAATAAAATACTACATAAAATAATGAAAATACAACTCATGCTCGTAACCATCGATCTCCGGCGTCGAAAATGCTGACGATGTCTTCATCAACATTAGTCTTGTTTGGAAGATGGTTGCAAGGTTAGAGAGTTGAAGAAGATGGAAGATTACAAGTTTTATAAAGTAAGAAATTTAAAAAAAAAGTTTTTTTTATGAAACACATATCATGATTTTCATTAAGGATTAAGGGAGGGTAGGAGTATCTTGGATTGCGTGCAATGGGAGAAATAATTTTACTGGAAAAAAAGGCTGGATAACTTGAATGGTTGGGAAGGCATTAAGTTTGAATTTATTTGGAGGTTTGCTGAGGATTTTGAGAAGAGGAAAAATATGATATTTAAGAGTAGTTAGGGACGTAAATTTGAAGAGGGAATTAAGTAGCATTTATGGAGGTTGTTAGGATTTATTTTTTAATTTTTTGTTTGAGATGGTGGGGAGAAAAATGAGGATCAATTAAAGAGGTGTCAAAAATGAAAGAAGGTGCTTTTCTTATGATAAGTCACAAAAATGCAGAGGGTGCTGTGCTGTGCTCATAAAAAAAAAAAAAAGTGTGGGTGATGAATTTGAATGGTTTTTGGGATTATTATAGGTCCAATTTAAGGCTCAAGATGATGAATTAGGCGAGTGCTTGATTTAGAAAACTAATTGATATGAAAAACTGTAATCAAGTAGGATAATGATGTATGAATAGAAGAAAGTGAAGTTAGTTAACGACTCCCCTTAATGAGATTAAAAAAAAAAGTGAAGTTAGTTGGTGGCCAGAAATATAGTAAAATAAACCAATGAAATATCCTAGAATCTTTCCTATTGATCTTTATAATGGAGATTAAGATTTAGGATGTTGGTTTTGGCGCATATTTAGGCTAGGATTTTATTTAGAAAATCTAATTGGGCAAGGAAAAAGTACTTACAGCTGACCTTTCGAATTAACTTGAGCTATGCGGGGGAAGTGGGAGAAACTTATCTAGAGCTCAATCTTCGAGGTGGCATGCTGTGGAATTTATTTAAAAGAACAGGGATGACATTGGACAAGGCCTGTGTAGGCTAATGAACATTTGAAATCAGCTGTGAAGTGGATTTGGCATTATTCCTATCTTCCGTATCAGCTTGAGCTTTGGGGTGATAGTTCTAGTGCCAATGGTTCAAAACTGGTATGGTAGAAGAACAATGAAAAAAAGTTCTTTTGGTTTTCTTCTTCAAGTACCTTGAAAACATTCCTCAGTGAATTTGGTCAACGTAATAAAATACCTTCTAAAGTAGCATATCAAATCCTTTCAGCCTTTTCCTTGTTAGATTGATCGAATTATCATCAAATTATTCATAAATGCATTAGACTAAACTTCAAAGTGTGAATTAATAATGGATTTAGTTGCAATATGTGAACAGGGTGAAACCAATTCAGCTAGGAGGAATAAGCATTATTAGAAATGAATACTTCTTGTTGTTCATGGATGCAACAAAATAGCTTGTTTTGTTCCTTTCAGCCTTTTCCTTGTTAGATTGATCGAATTAGCATCAAAATTAATCATCAATAGATTAAACTAAACTTGAAAGTGTGAATTAATATTTAGTTTAGTTACAGTATATGCTCAGAGTGAAACCAATTCAGCTAGGAGGAATAAGCATCACAAGAAATGATGCTTTCTTGTCATTCATGGATTTGGCAAAATAGCTTGTCCTGAGTGTGGAATTCATTTGGAGCTCCTTTCTGGTTAATCTATTGATATATGGCATTTATTTGAGTGCTTCACTCATACATGATATGCAGTTCATTTTGATATTTTGGACATTTGTATAAAACTAATGTTTTGGTTTTCATCTCTGCTTCATGTCAGACTTGTTTTGATTCATAAACGTAGATGGGCATCTGTTGCAATTTGAAACTGATTGGGGTAAAAACCGGCCTGCTTTACCTTTTCAAAGTCTTTTGACAGAATCTTATGCTCTTATATTCTACTTTGCATTTTTTATTTGTTGTTTTTGTGTTCTATGGGTAAATATGTACGCATCTTTGTTCTATTATATAATTATTTTCTTTGAAAATATTGTTTTTTTGCGATTTCTTTCTCAGGTTAACTTGAGTGTTGCCATAATTCCTATGTCACATCAGTTTGGATGGAACTCGTCCACTGCTGGCCTTGTCCAGTCTTCATTCTTTTGGGGATATGCGCTGAGCCAATTGCCTGGGGGATGGCTAGCCAAGTTATTTGGTGGAAGGTTCGTTTTGGATTATGTGCATTGGAAGGATTTGTTTGGTTAAAACAGATTATTAACTAATCGTTGCTTTTTTGTTCTTGTAGTTCTTTTGGAATTTATTATTTTGATTGATTTTTCACAATCAGTTAGAGATTAAATCCTTGATTCAGAAAAGGAATATGTACTAGCTTGACCATAGTCACCATACCAACTGATTGTTCTCCTACGTCGCTGTTTCCATTTTATGTAATTCTTATGGAGATTTTATGAAAGTAGTCAGATGGTTTCCCATAGATTTTCTTTAACTACAATAATGCTGCATTCCAAATGCTTGCTACTTAAATTGCTTTTTTATTTTTTGTTGCTGTTTTATTCTTATTCATTTATGTAAGGTAAATCATGCCATGTTCAATGCATTTAGGACTGGTTTGGTTCCCAAGAAGTGATGGGATGGGTACTTCTCACTTTTCAAAATGATAGCTGGAGAGTCACTTCAGGGCTATAGTTGGTCCTTGCCTCATTCTATCTTAGGTGATAATATGCATCATGGTCTGCCTGTACATATTATATCTTAGGTGATACACCACATTTCTAGTTGCAATGTTCAGTACATCTTCAAGGAAAGAAGAACTACACCTCTTCAGCATTCGAGTTTGCTAGGGGCTGAAACGGCAACATTCACTTTGAGCTGTTTTTTTCAAAGGAAAGTGATGCAAGACGAATTTTGGGAATTAGGATTTTGGGTGCATGGTTTCCCTTGGCTAAGTAGCTGTCTAGGCATTTGTTGAGACTATGATGCTTCTGTGGGCGATATGGAATCTCCTATGCCCTTCTTACATGTTAATCCACCGAGTTTGTTGACGCACAGTGCATGCCCTTCTTTGGCAGCCTCGTAGGCATACTTGCTTGCCATGCTGTCCCCATTCCTGCTCATTGCGATGCCTCACCGTGTCATCCTATTATAGTGCATCAATGCTCTACCTCTCTTGGCTCCTCAGGAAGCTTTGGTGATGCCCGATCTTCCTCTCTCCTGCCTGCCTTTGTGGATTTCATCTTTACTTCGTTACATGGTTCTTCGTCTAGCTCTTTATTCTTGACATTGGTGCTTTATGGTTTTGGCATCAAGGATCTGCCTCGTGATTCTTCTGAAAGTTGGAAAATCAACTTTGTCCTCTCCCTATGTTGTACTTTTTGTTGGGGAGGCTCATACTATCCAATTCCCATGATGACGTCCATACCCTACTCCTATTTCAAGTTCAACTTCTGCCAATCCTATAGTGGCTTGGGATGGTGCTTTTATTAGCCATTAATTTTTGTCTTCTATTTACGCCATTTTTATTAGTTCCTCACATCCATTTACTTGATCATGTTATTGCTCCTGCTAAGTCTACTATTCTCTTTCATTCTTTTGCTGAAGCTGTTAGGGGGAAAGATTTATTTTGTAACCATATCCTTTTGCCAAATTTCCTTTATTGTTTCAACAAGGCTGGGACACTTCTCAATAGAAGTCACTCACTACCCTTTATGATAAGTCCACTCTCTTTTTTTTAAAGATGATATTTCTTATTTGGCAGCACTGTTTTCATTCACTTTAGTTAGTAAACTTACCTTAGCTGTCCTATTTTGGAAATTATTCACATATTCATCTATGATTTACGTTTATTGGTAATTTATCAGATGGATTTTTTCCTGTCACAATGTGCTTGCTGAACTATCTTTGCCAGCAATTTATTCTAAATTTTTTTCCTTGTAGATCATATAATGTGAATGGTCTTCCAACATGCGTGTTGAAGTGTTCTCCATATTTTGATACTTCTGAGGGGCCTATTCCTCATCTTTGCGTTCATCAACCAATCTAAATTGTACTCTCTTTGTAATGATTGTTTGTACGATAATTGGACTACATGTAGTGACATGATTTAGATTTGGTAAGATTTGCATGTTTATGTGTCATTTATTGATTTTATGTGAATTATTAGGGTATTATTATTATTATTATTATTATTATTATTTTGAATTTGGGATGAAAATTTTGATAAGTTTCAAGCGGCCCTTTAGGGTGTTGTGTCACTGTGGTGTTATACTATTTGTTCGTGGTGCTGCGATGCTGTCATGAGGCATTGTGGTGCTCATCTCTCTATTTTCAGGAGTTTGATAAGTGGAAAGCATTTTTTGGGGGAGTTGTGGTGCTTATTTCTCAATTTTAAGGATGAGAATTTGGCCCTTGGGGGTGCTGCAGCGCTAGGCTATATAGCCTTCTCCTAGACAGTTGGTGCTAGGCTTTTTGGAAGGTGTCGGCGTCAGCTTATTGAGGTATGTACAGTAGTTGATTTAGTAGGCATATATGATCCTATCATAGTTGTGAAAGCTTGATTCATATTCCTTACAAAGGAAAGGTACGGACGCCTCTCCACTTGATCACTTCTAAGTTTTTATTTATACCTTGGCTCAAAGAGTCATAATTCTATCTTGATTTAAGTATGAAGACCAATCACAAACTTAAATTGATCATTCAATTGATACCTATACTCACCATGTAATAAATATTTGTTTTTGAGTTTACGTTGTATCTAAGCTCATGTATGTTTAACATTAGGATTTCTCCAAAATGACTTATCTTGTTCCATTAGTTTTGATTCAGTACATTTAACTCATTGGGAATTAAACATATCATAAGCACTATAGAAATCTTGTAAAAACCACGTGACAATCATGAACACAAAACCATAAGAAAATCTTGATTGTCATAAATCTGATTGAATCAAACCACACATTTAAACTAGTCACAAATTATACTGATGAGAAGTATTGAAGAATTGGTTGATAAAATGGAGTTCTAGATCTCATGTCGATCTAGAAATATTTTTCTAGAGGTTGTCAATCATTACTTGCATCTTACTCAAATAATTCATATCTAACTAGTACTTACAAGTACGAGAGGCAAACTAGGATTTCATTAAACAATTTGTTTTTTTTATATGCCCCCTATCCCTATTGATAATCCCAAAGAGCCAAAATTAATAACATTGCCAAATCCAAAAATTAGATATGGTGCTAGAATTGTAACCCACAACTAATGTGAAACAATCCCATGCAAAAATGATTTTCTTAATGAAGTTTGCACGTTTAGATTTAGAGGCAATAATAAGCAAGATCTTATGCGGAATTGAACGATAAAATAAATATTAAAGTGGTACCTAGCTTAGGTTATCTCACATGCATAGAGGTTGAGATCATTAAATAGTCAACTAAGTCTTACTTTAAATACATGAATTATTCCAACAATAAATTTCAATACTAACAATAAGATTAGTCTATGAAAGATCCCTCACACAACTCATTAAGATTAGGCAAGGGCTAATGAGTATTTTTATGTATTTTAATTAATTGTTTGCTTTAAGTATGGGAGGGAGATTAGGGCATGATATGTTTTTGTCTTGTGAAGAAAAATTGGGAGGTTGTTCTTTTAGGTGCGAGGGCTCTAGATCTTCATTCTAGAGAATTGGGAGAGTGTGATCCTCCTCTCGAATAGAGGATCCTTGTATCTTTACTGTTTTTCTTTTATCTACTAGTAAAATACAAGTTATTTCTCAACTATTCTCTCCAATTTGCTGTGTTTTGCCACTGTTTGCTGTCATTTTCTGCTGTGGACAGCAGGTTTTCATTGAGAATTGCTTCTAAAGTGGTTAGGAAATACTTGAAATCAAGTATTTCCTATCATATCCCTATTGTTATTGTAAGTTCTTAGCGCCATACAGATTGGATAGTTAATGTGAGTGATTGAGGTCCTGAGTAAATTGCATCTTTTAGTTGTCATATTGAACTCTGGGCGTAGGTCCAGCTTCTCAAACATTGTACCATTTGTAAACGTATTTTCTAGTAACATCTAATTTGTTGAGATTGTTTTGCTATTCTCTTTGGTTCATGTCTGCAAATATTTCTTAGTTTTGGCCTAGGTGCCAACAAGGTTTTAAAAGGCGAAATCGGGAATCGAGGCGTTTTTTCTAAGCGAGGCGAGGCGTAAGCCTCGAGGCGGATCGAGGCGTAAGCCTCAAAATGATTAAAATAAATTAATTTGTCCGCCTCGAACGCCTTTTTAATCGATGGGTGCCAAGACATTTTCTCCAGATCCTCTAGATGATTTGAGGATAAGCATGTGCATATTTATCCATGAAAATACAATATTGTAGCTTCTTAATCCTACATTTAATGTTTTTTTACACAGATTGTTGTCATTGGTAACTAAAACATTGATTGGATGTTATATCATGATAATGCTATATATTATCAGTGTCTCAAGAACTAGTGTCATAGGGCAATGGAGCATGGTCGCCATTCTTTCCATTGCTTCATTTTCTCCTAAGACAAGCTAGACTTTTTCATCCATCTTCCCTATCTATCTGTTTGTAGGCGGGAATTCATAAATCCTTTTTTTTTTTCTCTATGACTTATGTGTCTTTTCTTCTCTCTCATTTGCTTGAATATTTCTTTACTCAAGTTAGTGTCAAATTTTATTCTTACATTTCTACAACATTATAACGTTGATATAACCTTATGAGATGTTGAATAAAGAAATTTTAAATTCATAAAAATGCTAGTGCAATTTTTTTCTTAGTTTGCCTTTCAAAATAATTTCTTCTCTAAACAGCTTTATTTTAATACAGGAAAGTCCTTGAAGTTGGAGTCTTGTCATGGTCTTTGGCCACAATACTTGTTCCTAATTCAGCAGGATTTATGCCTGGTTTGGTTCTTTCAAGAATTTTGGTACGCCAAAATTTATCTAAAATTTACTAGAAATTTTCTATTTTACGTTTTGAGATTTAGTTGTTCTGAATTCCTTAATGTACATGCTGATCAAAGTTGTTTGATATTTTTTTTTCTTACAGTTTGCTATCTTTTTCTGGCTTGATTATTTTGTTTGACATTTTATTACTATAAAAATTAATCAGATGATTACCCTGTTATGTCCAAAGTTTCTCCCTTTCTGTTATGGTATTTAATATCAACTAGTCATGGATTGGTCCAAATTTTGTGCTTGATTACTTGCATATCTTCTGTACCGGTTGTGCCAACTACTGCAACATTGCAGATAATGTTACAGAATATATAGCTCTTAAAAGTCGTCCAGCAGCTCTTGCATAAATTGCAGACATTGTCCACTAAAATACTGGAATCAAGTGAGTTCTTGAGGATTCGAAGTATTAGAGAATGTGTTGGATTTATCCTAAACCATCTATACATGAGTACTTGTTTGGTATTCTTAATAATTGAAGTACGAGGTCACTTCTGTTGACTGCATCTTATTTATCTTAACTTGGGAATTCATCAAAAATAATTGAATTATGTACATATGTAACACCTTTCCTTTTTTTTTTTGTTTTTTGAATGTCAAATGTAAAAACTTATCTTATTGCATGATGCCTTAGACTTTTTTTTCAGGTGATGTTCCCGTTGAAGCGGAATAATAAGTAAATTCTTGATTTTTTTTAGCTGGTATATTGGTAGTAAACTTATAGCGTCTTGATCATTCACTGTTAAAAAGCAATGCTGACCAGACACATATGGTATCTCCTGTGATAACATTTTGTACAAAATTCCCTTTGTTTCTATCTCACCAAAAGTTTCTGAAGCCCCACCTGGGCATCTTCATTTCACTGTTTTTACCCTCCTCTGCCATGGCTTTACTCCTTCCGATCATAACCTTGCATTAGGTCTTCATTTTGAAATACTCAGGTTGGGATTGGAGAAGGTGTTTCCCCATCAGCAGCAACTGACCTAATTGCCAGGCAAGTTATTCATATACTTAGTTTATCCTTATGTAAAACAATATCCAAAATATATGCTACCCACTTTTAAAGATCTTTGTTCACCTTTATCTAGCCATTTGTCACTTCAAGGTAAGTCTCTCAGGTCATTTCCTTTCCTTTTTTCCTTTAACTGTATTCTACTTCTGAGGTTACCCGATGAAATTGTTTGTTTTGTTATTTTCCTCGGTTTACTTATGTTGCTAAACGCATATTGTTTCCTCCTGGTTACCTAAGCTCTCTCTTTTTTTTTTTTCTTTTTGAAAGCAGTACTGGTTTTTTTTTCCTCTTAAAATTATAATAAAAAGCTTCTAAATGAAAGATTTCAGTTTGTGACAGAACCTTGGAAGTATAGATAATACTGATGGAATTGCTTATGTCCACAACAATCCAATGACAAAGGTTCATGCAGCCGTACTTTTCAGTATTCTCATCAACTAGTATAATTTTTACTGATGGAGATGGTATAATTTTTACTGATGGAGATGGTCTGTTTATTCTGAAATAGATGTGAGTTTATCCAGTAAAAGTAACAGTATTTGGCAAGTGTGGGCCCCGAGAATTCATGCTCGGGATTTATTGGGAGAGTTTTGGTGTTTTGTGTGAAATTTTTCGAAGTCAAATTAGGATAAAAGATGAATCACTACCTAGAGATTTCATCACCATTTTTGTGAGCATTTTATAATTTAGTTCTAGGTTGCCCATAGGTGTAATCCTCTATGATTAATTACCTCTCATGATGACTAGAGAGAATTTTTAGTTAAGGCTAGCCATCAGATGCTAAATGTTTAGTGTCTAGTAAGGTTGGAAATTTTGTCATCATAAACTTAAAGTGGATAGTGGAGGAAATGATGACTTTCCTGATTATGTTTTTGTCATATTAGGTTGTCATAGACCCTATTCTGGTTAATCAGAGATATTTGATTTAACTTGATCGAGGCATTATTATCGCAACCATAAGTTGCTTCATCCATGGGGACGTTTTTGATTTGTGGTGAATGTTTGTCTTAGGGGATGAATTTAAGTCAACTTGATGCAATAAAAAATTTGGGAGAGGGACCCAAATTTTTGATCACAAAAGAAAATATCTTCCTATATAAAAGAAATACTAAAAATGCTAAAGAAATTCATCAAATTCTAAAAAAGACACAAAATAAGAAACAAAGACACTTTTATAATATTAGAGAAAACTCTTACATTTCATGACACTTACAAACAACACTTACAAACTTGGACACACACCTTACAAATGACTCAAACAAGACACCTAAAGTTGCTTTCATCCATTAGAAGAAGGATACAGATGGAGTGGCACTTGCGGAGAGACGAAAGAGATTAGAAGCCAAGACGAAGGTTGGAAAGAGCTCGCAAGATTTCCATAGAAGTAGAAGAAGAAGTGGAACAAAGCTGTCAAGCTTTTTCCAAAGAAACCCTCAGGTTTTCTTACTCCAAAAATAACATTTTTCACCACCTAAAACAGCCACAAACAACACTATTTATAGGCACAAAAAGGGCAGCCAAACAGCCCAAATAGTAGGGAATATGGAAGGTTAAAAGACACCAAGAAGAAGGCCAAAAAGCACCTAAAAATTGCCGTAGAAATCTGTCCCAAATCAGCCCCAAAATCACTTCAATCCCACACATAAATGGGGAATTGAAAAGCCAACAGATTTTGTACAGAAATCCCAAACGTCACAGCAAAATACAAAGAATAAAGCCATGATTTCAAGCAGATACATCACGGAACCCAGCAGCCAAACAGCCACTATAAATTTTGGTAAAAGGGGGGACATGGGTAGTAAAAAAGGCAGCAAAACCGAATGGTTAGCAGCAACCATGGGAGGAAAAACAGCAGAAAAACTGCAGCAGCCCAAGAGACAAAAGGAAGATGAAAGGGCAAGAGAAAAGGGGGAAGGAGAAAAGACATTCAAGAATCAATGAGCTAATTCTTTAGTTCCATTAATGAACTAAAAAATAGCTCATAATGAGCTAACTTTTAGCTCAAAATATTAATGAGCTAGCAAGCCCAAAATAAGTCAAAACCAAAATATTCATTTTGTTTTGACCCCCCTCTATTTTTTTTTTTTTTCCCCCCCCCCCCCCCCCTGCATGCATCACAACTTTAGCTAATAGAGAATTTTTGGCCCTATTAAGGGACCATTTGGATTCATCATTAAAGGGTTTTTAAGCCTTTGGGGAACTTATGGGCTTCGGCTACAACCGCAAGAACTTCGAACCCTTGTTTTAGTCGATCAATTACACTCAACTGTCTCCAAACTTTATTTAGAAGACAAGGACAGAAGCAGCCCGGTAGAAGCTGCTCTTAATTCCTTCCTGGTTTTGCCCAAATCACACGAAAATGCCTATCCTCGTCCTAGCACGCACGAGGAAAAGGGTACTCACGCTCGGTCAAGTCGCACGCACAGAAGTTCCTAGCCATTCCTCCTTCGCTCGATCTCTTCTCAATGCCACACGCACGCAAGAGGAAGCCCTTCCTCTTCGATCACTCTTGCCTGTAAGCAAGTTAGAATGCGCTAGATCACACGAAGATGCTGCCTCCTATTCGATTGGGCCGCCAAGAATGAACGAAGGAGCTCCAAGGATCACACGATCCTTTCTTCCCAGTCGCGCAGGAGAGCTATGTTGTTGCTCTTGCTCTCGCTCTCTCCTGAATCGCTTGGACGGGTCACACTTAGGAGTAGTAGGGAACAAACACTCTCTCTTGATCTCCTCTCTCTTGGCTTCATCCCAACAAGGAAAAAAAATCGAGGCTCTCAATTTCAGTCTTTAGGTAGAAACGAATGCATGGATTCCTCTCTTTGCCTGGGTCGCTCATTCTTCTGCTATAGCCGTTCACACGTCTCTCTCAATATGCTCCTAATCGCGGGAATTTCGGGATGATATATGACAGGAGATTAGAAGCGCAAGTTATCATTTTAAGGTAATTGGAGCCTTTGATTTGAATTTACTTGGAAAGCCTATTTGAGTTTAATTAGAGAGATTGGGCTGAATCGAGTTCAAATTAGTCTAATTTATAGATCGATTTGAGTCCATTTGATTTAATTTGGGTTCAATTAAACTTGATTTGTGTCTCATTTAATTTTGACGGGGTGTGATCGAATTGATCAAGCTCAATCAGGCCTAATCGGGAATGATTCGACTTGATCCGAGTTGGGTCGACACAAAAAAAAGTGTCAACACAACTCTGCTTCACTTTTATGTGTGAATGTTTTGACATAGGGAGCCTTATTAGGTACCATGGTTTTCTTGGTTATCTCGATAGATTATGGTTCAAAAACATGCCAAGGTCAATTTCATGGAAGTGCATTATAAAGCATGACTGATGTGTACTTCAAGTGTATCTTTTAAGTGTGGACATTTGATTTGGAGACATTAACCATCTGATTTAGAGCGAAGTTGTAAGGTGAGATTTACTTTGAAAGGGTCCATCCGCAGGATCTGTTTGGGCTTCTTCGTTCTGAATGATACTTTCTTCATCTTCTCTAGTTTTACCATCTTTCTTTATCAAGCTATGTAATTTATGCTCAATTTTTATTCAATGGTCGACTAAACTCATAGTTTTTTACTGATGATGGAAAACCTTTGTAATTCTTAATGTAGGCTCTTTTGTTTTAGAGTATGAATGATTGTTTTCAATATCTCCCACTCTTTATTTAATTTATATTGTGGCCATGTATAAAATTAACATCTACTGTGATACATTGCATCGATGGAAGAATGTTGGAACAATTAGTAGAATTGAGATGGAATGCTTGCATGCCAAGATAGGATTTTTAATATTCGAGGGTCTATGGAGTTTTGATAATTGTAGGAAAGCCATAAACCTTCTATATCCTTACAAGCTCGACAGAGATCTAATGATGCATATGCTCGAGTCACAACTAATGTAGTGGAGTCTGCTTAGGAAAACTTAGGATATTCACTGTCATTAGTCCAAAACACTTTAATTATTGGTATCTTTACTATTTTATGCACTTCTCATTAGGGATAGAGATTACTGTTGTTTTCATTTCGTAGGATAAATACCATAGTTTGAGTATACAGTACTAGAACATTTGTGTGTAGCACAGTATTTCTCCGTCGGAACAACACTTTCATACATTTTTTTACTTGATTGGCATGCACACTTGCATTTTTATTGGGGTTATATCCAAGCAAACAAGAACTAAACATAGCCCCCATCAGATGCAAGCACGGTTTTCGAATTTGATCGGACCGGTAACTTGGCCGGTTGATATATATATTAAAAGCTGGATTCTGGTATTCTGGTATTGAGTATTTAGATGTTGGCTAATACTGAACCCTACTAGGTTATCCTACTAACCAATACTTTAAATATCAAACGTCAATAACTTCTTAGTTGGATCAAGTAATTGGATATCTTATTGATTTGGTTGGATTGGATCGAATACCCTAAATACACAATTGCCATCCCTATGGGAAATAGATTTTTGTTCCAAATTTCTAATTTTCTGCATGTTTTTAAAATAGTAATGAGTGTTGGTTGATCTTTATCCATGATTTCATGTACAGTGTATTTGTTTTTTCATGCATCTTTTCCTATGTTTTCTTCATTCCATGCAGATCTATTCCATTAGTGAAATTAATATAATTAATTGACCTATACAGATCTATTCCATTACAAGAACGCTCCAGAGCAGTTGCATTTGTTTTTGGAGGTCTGAGTGTAGGAAGTGTCTTGGGGTACGTCTATGAATAAATGGTTCTGTTTCTGACTCACATATTTACTACTTTATGGCTATTTCTATGAATCTAATGTTATTATATTGTCCCATGATTCACTTAGCTTGAATTATATAGCATGCGATATTATTCTTGTCATGTTGGCGTTTTAGTGTTTTCTTCAATATACTAGTGCAGTGCCTAGTATTGTTCTCTAATGTGAATTTACCTCTTGCTTGCATATGCCTCAATGTTAGTGTCTAAACTGGCTTGATAGGGTACTTTGATGGATTTTGTGTTTGGGAACATTGCAAAGAGAGAAAAAACCAACTTATTTATTTTGTTGTTGATTTTTTACTTCGTTGTGACAAAAAGTAGGAACCACTTTGGTCAATTTAAGGAAAAAATATTTGTCCTTGCAGGCTTTAAACCAGTCAATATTATAGAATTGTCCATGTTTAGTTCCTTCATTCGACCTATGCTCATGCTCTAGAGAAGCAACATTCTTCTGGTCACAATAAAGAATAGGAAAGAAGATGAGTTTGAACCTTGGAACTTTGAATAAAGTGCATGCTTAAAGATTTTTGGTTTTGAGTTGCCACTTCATTCAAGGGCTGTTACAGACGGGCCAGTCTTTTAAATATTTTTATCCATGAACTAAACTAATGGAGAGGCATATGCTAGTTTGCCGAAGTTTGTTTTTACTGTAGTTTTTATTTACAATGAAGGAAAGTAGTTGAAGATGTGAATAGAATAAGAGTATGCTATTGGTGCATGGCTTGCCAACTTGACTAAAACTTCAGTTGGCAATGCCAAGTTGAGTGGAATTTTGATATCCTACTGTGATGTGATATACGATGTTGAAGATTTAAACTGTTTAACTGCAAAAGTTGAATATTTTGGAAAGTTTTGTGCTGCTATGTTTTCTGCTAAATCTAAAATGAACAAGTGTACACTGAAGGTTCATTTGGTGCAGGGACAGGGGTTTCCCTGCCACTTCCACCATCTTTCCACTATGTGGCTACGGCCACCACTTTTTCTAGGCAGGTTGGGACGTCTGATGTACACATGCAGGTCACCAACTCAAACAGGCCCTAGACCAAGTGTGACACATGTGCCAATTTATATTAAAAAACGTTGGCTTGGAGAATGAGTTTCTTTGTTTATTATAATGTTGGACTAAGGATGCACTGCCATGAACATTTTATTTGTTTATAATATTTGAGAAAGAGAAGACTCAACCCTAATATATTGTAGATGTAAGTGTTTTGGATGCCCAAATGGATTCAACGACTTTAGTTTAGCTTTTGGTAGCAAAACTAATTGAAACGCCAATCCACCCATTTTTAAATGTTTTAATTTCTATGATGTCTGATGTTTTTAATTGTTAGGAAGTTTAGCGTTTCTTTGTCTGCATTATTTGGATCTGGAGCAGAAATTTTAATTTCCAGGCATGATTCCCTGAATGTTGTCACATCCTTCTCAGTTTAATAATGCCAAATATCAGAGTTTATGCAATAGTAAAAGTTCTCTGCTAGTCTAGTTCATGATGCTGAAATTCTTTGCAGGCTTCTCTTTGCCCCTCCCATTATCCAAGCGTGTGGTTGGGAATCTGTTTTTTATATATTTGGCATTCTTGGAATAATTTGGTGAGTAAAAAAATAACACTTCATCTTGTACATTATGTAGCAATTGTCTTTCTCCAATGTTACAGTAAAATGTTGATATCTTAAATCCAATGTATGCAGGTGCATCTTTTTTGCTAGTTGCATTTGATAAGAAATATTTTAAAAATAAATTGTTTTGAGCCAAAACTTTGTAGTCTCTTTTTCTTAAGTACTTGCATTGTCAATCAAGGTGTTTGGCATTCAAGTTCGTTAAAGAGGCTCAGCCACCACTTGACGCTAAAGAGGAGTTCGTTAAAGAGGCTCAGCCACCACTTGACGCTGATTACTTTGGTAAGTAAATTTTCTATGTTCCCGGACTTATCAATTTAGCATTTAAGACTTGTAGAGTACAACAACCTCATGATTTTGTTACTAACTATTCATAATTTTGAACTTTAGGCATCCTTATTTATTATGAAGTTTTGAATCTACATTAGTATTTTCCTTGCTATTACTAATATATTTCTCAAACTTTTCTTAGAATCAAAATTTTGAGTGCAATTGTTTAACTGCCATTGTGTAAAGAAATCAAATCTCCTACTGTTCCCCACAACTGCCGGAAAGAAATAAGTTAATATTACAGGCTTCACACAAATAGCATTTAGAGTTTTAATTTCAAGTAATATACAGGACAAAAATCTTTATAATAAGAAAACAAAATTTTTTATTTTAAACATTCCTATCTAGTTTTTATTTATATTAATATACACATACAATTTTTTGCTGCTAAGTGTTACTTAATTGAATGTTGCTGCATTTATGTTGTATGTGGATTTTTGCAGGGATATATGGTGACAAAGTATCCTGAAAGAAAATCTGATGCTATAGCTAGCCCTATCTTCTAGATTAGAACTATGAGGTTACAGTGCAGTTTTATTGTCTAATCAATTATGAGAAGAAGATAAATGGTCCCTGGACTAGTTTTGAGCGGCTATTTTTGTCCCAAACTACTGAAGGTGCTTAATTTGATCCCTTAACTCCTCAAAATTGATTCAAATTAATCCCACATTTAAAATTATTGTGTATTTAGATGGAAAGCTCATATGAGATAACTTGCTTGGAGGTTTGAATCTATCAAGTAGCTTTATACTAAATATAGCATTTTAGTTTTTTTTTTACTATTACTAATTTAACTCTTCGTCGAAGTGAGGTCGCTTGCTTGTGATCCACGAGCAGCTGAAAGTTTATGGCAATTGGATTCTAAGTCTAGGCCAAGGTTTGTAAATCACCCATGCTTACCTAAGAATGATTCCTGTAGTGGGTGATTGAGATGGAGGTAGACTCGAGAAGATTATTTTGTTTGTAAGTACAAACCATTGTGTTATTCCTCTTGAGAGTTGTGATCTTCACATTATTCGATCTTAATGATCTCGTTCTTCGTGCACCACTCAATGCTATCATTATTTTTTTTTGTGGGTCATCATGATATCTCATATTTGTTTTCTGTGTGCTGTTGTCAACGGTCTCTAATCTCACCTCTCCCTTGGTGTTTCTCCTTCAACAACCAAGCTCAATTTTTAAGAAATGAAACTAAAGATTATGATAAGAAAAATAAGCTGTAGAAAATTTTAAAAGCTGGCTATATCCTTTAAACATACCTTTGCATGAACTTCTCATCTATTGGCGTAGTAATTCTAACGGTGGGGCTAATTTGGAGTAATTTTAAAGAATTATGAGTTCAAACTGCACACATTCAGCCTAAAATGGTCCCTCATAGAAGTCTAAGGACCATTTTAGGCCTTTTATGATCTAGTTCAAAATTTTGGAGAACATTATGATTGAGGTGCTGTTAAATTATGAAATATAGAGCAAAAAAATATTATAGTTTGGAGGTTGCAGGAGTAGCACTTGTTAAAGATGATGTTATAAAAAATAGATTTGAGTAGTTTGAGCATGGTTGTTGAATGTTGAGAGTAGAAGATGTGTACAAGAAGGCATGTGCATATTAGTAATGTTAAAGGAATATGAAGGAGAAATCTGATGCGGACATCGGCACGAAAATCTGGCGCATCTATCACAGGAGGCGTCGTAAATCGACGGCTCTGATTTAAGTTGTCATTTATGAATTATTTTATGCATTTTAGTTTCTATTTTATGTTATTTCTTATTTTACCCCTAGGAGAGGAGATCCTCTCCCTAGCAAAGCCTCCTCGTTCTACATCAAAATCGCTATACCAAATGTAGCATATCATGAAGTTAAGAAAAATGTTTGGATAAATTAGAATTACACATTACAATACAAAGATAATTAACTAAGTCCATCCAAAATAGTTGAGATGAGGTTAGTGATGGTGATGATGAAAAAGATGAAAATGAATTAATTTGGGGGAAAGCTTTGTTTTGTAGGGCTCTAAAGTTAGGTTTCTCTCATTTTATCCTTTTATGATGGGAGTTAAAGAATTTCATTAAATAGTTTGCTAAACGAAATATATAGAATTCTTTTATGGAAAAACAACATTACTTTACTAGCGAAGGCCGCTAACACTTATTGTTGAAGTATGTGTGTGACTGTTATTTTTTACATGCCATTGCTATGATTCATGTTATGTGCCCTCTAAATCTAATACTTAATGCAATTACATGCTCCCGCTCCTTTGGAAATCATCATGAGCAACATTAATATAATGATCTCATGATCCTCAACACAACCATTTTCAGCATTGTGAACTTTATGAGATCTATTTGATGCTTGCTTTCGGAGGATCTTCATATGGTAATGTCTTTTATGTTTAATGATCTCGAGGAATGGTTCACCTTCAGTTTGATTCACAGGTCACATGCTCAAAACAATGAAAACATCATACGCCATGTCAAGCAAAAAGTGGTGTATGAGCGCTGTGCCGCGCCGCACATTATCGCACGTGTTATTTTGTGCTATTGGCATTTATAACTCTTAAACATTTAGCTTTGTTTGTTTCTTCTTCATGGTCTCTTGTTAGGGTGATATCATTAACATAAACGATGTGGATATAGTTTTTGCTGTGAAATGATTGCTTGGCGATGATTAGATTGCACTTTAGTGTTCCCATGCATTTTTAATCATCATATTGAATATGTTGAACCTAGCTCTTAGTGATTGTTTTAAGCTGTATAAAGATTTCTTGTCTTCAAACTTGGTTCTTATTACTTTTATTCTCACATCCATCAGGAATTGTTTTATAAACTACATCATGTAAAGCGTCATGAAAAAAGACATTTTTCGCATCTAGTTGGTAGAATGGTTAATCTAAACAAGAAGCAAGAGAGAAAATTGCCCTAAGAGTGTTCATTTTATAATCGGTCAAAGGTTTCTTGAGAATTAATACCATTGGTTTGAGTGAAGCCTTTTTCCACAAGTCTTATTTTTATTGGTTAACACTTCTGTTCGCTTTATATTTCACATTAAATACCTATTTTCATTCAACTCCTTTCTTTTCTTTAAAAATATTTGAGAACTTTGATGTACCCTTTCTTTCAAGGGCCTGAATTTCTTCATGAACTATATTTCTTTGGTAAGGAATATTTGAAGTTACTTAAATACTATTAGAAATTTTCAAACTAGAAAGATATGTAGTAAATGCATAATTTAGGAGACAATTTGCCATAAGAGATATAATGACTAATTGGGTGATTGAAGCTTTTCTTGAGAGCTGTTCTAGGCATATTAAGATCATCATTAGAATTAGTATTTCCTTATCTGATGTAGCCAGGGGGGGTCAAAACAAGATGATAATTTGTTTTGACCCTTGGGCTTCTGGTGTTCTCGGGTAAGCCTTGGTTGCTTGGTATTGAGCTCAAAATGCTGGAATTTTAACTAGTTTTAGCTCATAAATGTTTGAGCTAAAGTTTAGCTCAATGATTAGGGAATTTATTGCACTTCCTAGCTCATTAATCCAAAAAGGTTTGGTATTTAGTCTTGAATTCATTTTGTAGTGGGCTTTGCCTCTTCTTCTTCCCTTTGTCTATTTGTTTTCTTGTGCTGGTGGTTTTCCCATGCCTTGTCCCTTGGGTTCCCGTGGCTGATTGTTGGTTTCCTGTGCTGGGTGGTTTTCCCGTGCTTTTGCCTCTTTGGTTCCCGTAGCTGCTGCTCGGTTCTGCAGCTGGCTGCTTGGTCCTGTGGCTGGCTGCTCGGTTCCGTGGCTTTTTTGCTTGGTTCTCGTGGGCTGTCTTCTCTGTTTTGTTGTGCCGTTTGGGGACTGAGGTTATGTGGTTGTTGGTCTTTCATTTCCCTAAATCTAATAGGTTTATTTACTGCTGTTTGGTGGCTGTTTGGGGGGGGGGGGATTCCATGGGATTTTTCAAGTTTTCTGTGCAGTTTTCCTGCAGTTGTTTGCAGTCTTTTGTCCTTCTATATTCCTTGAATTTAATGGGTTTAATGGGAGATATTTGGGCTGTTTGGCTATCCTCTTTTATACCTATATATAGGAGATGTTTTGAGACTTAAAAATGGTTGAAAATGTGATTTTTTGAGTAAGAAAACCTGAGGGTTTTATTGGAAAAGCTTGAGAGCTTTGTCCTCTTCTTCTTATTCTCTATCTTGGGATAACTTGCGAGTTACTCCTATTCTTCGTCTTGGCTTCTAATCCCTTTCTTCTCTATGCAAGTGCCACCTCACATGTATCTTTCTTCTCAACGATTGGCAAGCTCCTTTAGGTTTGTTGTGTCCAAGATTGTAAGGTGTTTGTGTCCAAGTTTGTAAGTGTTTGTATCCAAGTTTGTAAGTGTCTTTATATGATATAAAAGGTGTCTTTTAGTATTTTATATCTTTTTGTAGTATTTTGTGCATCTTCTAAGTTATAGGAAGAGTCATCTTTTGTTAGCAAAAATTTAGGGCCCTCTCCCAAATTTTTGATCGCATCATTATCTTTGTGAATTGATGTTAGGACTTACGTTAAGCATTGTGTTTGTTTCAAGAGAAATGCTTTGTTCAACCTTGTTTGTTGAATTTTTTTGTTGTATGGAATATGCTCCCTTATTTCGAAATGTTGAGATTTTGGTAGGCTTGGAAGAGATGTAGGTTGAGATATCAATAAAGTAGAACTCATATTATAACAGAAGTCATATTCATAGAGAATTGATGTTGTCTTCTTAATTGTGAGTTTTAGGGAAGAAATATTGATTTTTAAAAGATTACGTTAATAGCGGTTTATTGTTTTTTTAGTACTAAGAGAATAACATTTATATCTTTGTTGGTGAGGAGAGTAACCAATATAAATGTATTTAATAACTTTTCGGTCTAATTTACTTCTTTGATAAGGAGGAATTTTAACGAAGGCTGAATATTCTGACAATTTCATAAGAATGATGGAGAT